GAGCCCGAGCCAGCACCTCAGCATAGCTGGATCCTGGATCCTTGTACAATTCCTTGATGTGGAGTGCTTCAGTGAAGAGGGTAATGTCGGTGCACTCCGTCAGCTATTCGACCTTCAGCGTCTCATTCCTCCACCTGGATAGAAAATGAGAAAGAGATTCCTTCGGCTCTGACAGACACTGGTGAGACATATGAAATACTGCTTAGGGGTGGCGCTCGAGGTGACCTGTGCCAAGAAAAGGCTTAGAGTTCGACAAAACTGTCGATAGTTCCTGGTCGCAACTGAGTGAACCATTCTTGTGTCAGCCCTCGAAGGTTGGTAAAGAACAGCCTACAGATAGCATCATATGACGCCCTTAGCAACATGAGACCTCCCTGATAGCTCATTATATGGGCTTGGGGATCTCCCACTCCATTATAGATGAACTTAGTCGGCGGCCTACCGTCCCTCGGGATTTTTGCAACCATGATTTCTGGGTGAGAGGAGAAGTAAGGCAAAGACGGGGTTGCACTAAGGTTCTGTTCTGCTGCTGGGTAAGCTCGTCAATCTGCCGCTGAAATCTGGTCATAGTTACAGCTTTTTCAGGCCAGTTCGGCGGAGGAGTGACAATTTGCAACTTGTTTTCTCCCCCTCGTGCATTTCCATGATCCCATCCTACTCGGGTGATCACCCAGTTATCTTTGCGCATCCCCTGGAAATGGCATCCCTCAGAAGGGCCATTCAGGGAAGCTCTCTTGTGTGATGGTTGTTGCGGGGCATCACTAGGGTCTATTCTTCCATAGTGTTCCTCCCACCATGGGACCCAAAAGCTTTAGCTCGCCTTCCATGGTTACCCGATCAATCTTGGCATCCAAATCTTTGTCCGTTATGGGCCCCACCCATTCAGTAGACCTGCACAAAACCGGGCCAGCCCGCCCGGCCCGCCCATATAAATGGGCGGGTTTGGACACATAGTTTAGCCCACCGGCCCGGCCCGGCCCGAGCCCGTTTAAATTATGGGCGGGCTTGGATTCTAATATAGGCCCGGCGGGCCTAAAAGCCCGGCCCGTTAAATGTGTGTATATATATATATATCATATAATTATATATATAAATTATACTTTGTATATATACACAAAAAATTACTATCATTAAGGAAGGCCAACATGAAACCTTAGCCAAGCTACTGCTATTAGATCGGACCAATAAAGTAGTACCCCGTGTTAGTTAAAACTTGAACTGTTTTGTACTGGACACCTATCAAGTCTTTTAAGATACTTTTATGCTTTGACTATTCTCATTGCACATTCTGATTGTACTTTTATTTATTGTTTGCACATTGTGATTAAATTTTTAAATACTAATGTTAGTTCTAAATTTGAATGGTTTTAATTTTTCAGAATCGTGTGTGTATTTCATAAAAGTATTTTACAAACGTTTACGATTTTAAAAAAAAAATAGAAAGAGGATAATTTTTTCGGGCCCGAAAGCCCGGCGGGTAGCCCGGCCCGCTCTTTTGGGCGGGCTTGGACATATGAGGAGGCCCGTTGTACCGGGCCGGGCCGGGCCCGCCCACTACAAATGGGCAGATTTTTTAGAATAAGCCCGGCCCGAGCCCGGCCCGAGCCCGCGTTTGTGCAGGTCTACCATTCAGGAACATACTGAGGTGCAGGAGGCCTTAGATTCCTCGTCATACTCTCCAAACAATTGCATGTCTGATCGGTGAGGGTGGAGTGCGCTCTGTGTGGGTGGTGTACGTTGTCCGCTCCGCATTTTCCCGATCATCCATTTATCGCATGGTATCAGCCAATTCCCTCATGAGGCAGGGATTACGACAGAAATTGTTTGGGATCAGATTGGTTGGGTCACCTCTCCCATTCAGGCCAGCCCATCCGCTGATGCCCTGCTCCTTAGAGTTGAGGGTGCGAGACCTTCTACTCTCATGCAGTCGTTCAGACATGTCTCTGGTTTGTTTAGGTGTCTTCCTCATTGCTGTAGTAAGAAGTTGTTGGTGCGTGAAGCGTTGCTTAGCATTAGAGCTTGCTTGGGAATTTTAGTTCAAGTTTCCCACATATGACGCCAATGTTGAGGTTTATTATCAGGATCCAAAGGTCCAATACAATCCTTTGGGCTTCATAGGACTGTCTTAGTTAAATGAGTATTCAGATGAGTGTTTAAGGCCACAATGATGCAAGAATAGCAAGCAAATGAGTGCAAGTGGATCCAATTCTATTCGAGCCAATAGAACGATTACAATACTATTGTCGGACGACAATTCCAACTCTCTAGGCAGAGCTAGAATCTATTGGGAAGACTAAAAGGAATTATAATGTTGGAGTGCAAAGTTGTTAACCCTTTTACAATTAAATGAATGCTGATATATATAGTACAAGTCAGTAGGTTAATGGATGATGTGAGCTGCCCTGAGAGGATGAGCTTCAACAATAAAATCTTTCACATCCAATGCATTAAACACACTTCCCGCCAATTATGGTGTTTCCCGCCAACTGCCTTGGGTCGTTCCGCCATGGGCAGCTTGCTGAAGTGAGGAGAGAAAACCAAGTTAAGATAACAGGTCGTATGACAATGTCCGTGTGTCACTCCGTGCGGTTATCCCGAGCTGAAGATATTTGCTGACAGTCCATGCGGGATCGGGTTTCTTAGCGATATTTGGGCCTGCATTGTGCCGAGACCTAATATCCTAACAAACTTCAAATAGATCTTTATTTGATTTTCCACCATATTCTCTTTATATTATATATTATATATATATAAATAAGTATTGCATACTAGTAGTACTTTTGTCTACTTTTTAGAGTATGCGTAAATAGCCCTTGAACTGTCACCATAATATCATTTTGGTCTTCGAACTATTAATGATATCATTTTAGTCCTTAATCTATTTAATCTATATTAATCAAGTCTTTCCGTTTTAAAATTTTCCGTTTACATTGATGGTAGGTAATTTATTAACATCCCATAGTTTTAAATATTTTAGAACAACACAATTATTCGTAAAAATTTAGTAGCTAATCTAGTTTTTTTTTAAATATACATACATACGCATACACAAATAAACATTATAAATAAATAATTAAATAAATAATATAAAACCATAAGTATGGATTAAATAACATATTCGGAGTATATAACATATAAGAGAGAATCAAATAACCAATTATATACATATGAGCAAATAAAATTAAATAAGAAAACGAGAATGGTCACCTCCATTTTTTGTTAGATTTTCTTTCCCTTTCTCCCATTTTCTGCCTTCAGAGTTCTTTGTCTATCATAGTACCTGTAGTCTTCTAATATTAGAGTCTCTCTTTTATATGTAGTACTATGTACGTAGTATTATTTAAGCCATACATGTGGTTATATATTATTTATTTGATTATATATTTATAATTTTTGTATGTGTGTGTATATATTTAAATATGTATATTTATATATATAAAGAGAACATGGTGGAGATCCAAATATAAATCTATTTGGAGCCAAAAGAAGTGAAAAATTGTGGTCACTATTAATGAAACATTACTTAATTAATGAAGCCATATTAAGTGCCAACCTAATTAATTGTTGTAAGTTATAAATAAAACTTTAGAAAAATGTTGTCACTATTAATGAAGCATTACTTAGTGAAGCCATATTAAGTGCCAACCTAATTAATTGTTGTAAGTTATAAATAAACCTCTAGAAAATTATATTGAGCATAAATACATTAAATATTAAAAAAATATTAGAAAAATATTAGAAAAATATTAAAAGACACATATGCATAATTAATTAAGAGACATAATCTAATAAAGTTAAAAATTCATTTATTGAATTCTACTATAACTATTCATTAGTAAACAAGTAAGTATTTTAAACATCCGTTGAAATCACATTTTTAATAATGTTTCCTGATTTTGAAATTATTTTTAGCATTTCCAATTTTGTTTATGAGTCAAATTGGTTCAACGATATTGAATTATACAATTTTACGATTCAACTCGCGATTTTAACAACATTGATATATAGTTCTTATAAAACATATAGTGATTTTAACAATCTTGATCTGTATCTTTTATAAAACATATATTGGGATGAATGAAGAGATATTACGGAGTATAAAATAAATATTTATTTAGAAACTTTAAAACACAACAAGATAATAAAAAGTAATGTCATGTGTTGAATAATCATCATAATTATAACTAAATAATACTCCGTACTACATATGAGATCGTAATATGATAACAATTGTTATCATCTTCATTAGACAATATATATGTTAGGGATGAAGAATACTTATTTGGTAGTTTTATACTAATTGGTGTATCTCTAACAATTATCATACATGTATTCTAATATAATTCCATATCATGTTTTTATTTTTATGCAATAAGTATGTATATACACATTACTCATGAAATAAATTATTTGTAAAAATAAACTGATTTCATTTCTTCACCGTGCAACGCACGGGTGGATTGACTAGTATTTAAGAATAATTGCATTGTTCTATAGCGTTTAAAATTATGAGATGTTATTAAGTTAGGAGTAGTCTTCATCTCAGGCCGGCCTGACGGGATGCTCCGGCCGGCCGAGGGCATTTCAGGCACTTTCCGGTGGAATTTTTTGATGAAAGTTTTTAAGCATGTTCTTCATGAAGTCTAATTTATCCTTACCAAATTGCAGCTAAAAAATCAATCGAAAAGGCATTCAAATAATTTCTTGAAGTTAACTGGGCATTTCATACATATAAACTGCCCGGTTAACTTCAAGAAATTATTTGAGTGTCTTTCCAATTGAATTTTTAGCTGAAATTTGATATGGATAAACTAGACTTTATGAAGAACATTCTCAAAAAATTTCATTAAAATATTCTACCGGGAAGTGCCCGAAATGCCCTAGACCGGACGGCGGTTCCCGTCAGGCTGGCTAGACCTGAAAAGTCCTCGTTAAGTTAGATGCTGCCTATACAAATGGTACTACGTATAAATATTGAAGGATTCGATTAATATACATTTTACACTTTTTTTTATAAAGCAGCTACTGAATAGTGAGTATTGAGCGCATGACCGGGGCTCGAGCCCGACCAGGCCGGTATAACGGCAGCTGCAGATAGCTCTTAGGCTTAATCACTATAAAATGGTGGCGGTTCCGCGATTAGGCTGTCACCTCGCTCACATCACTGCTTACGGTACTCTCTGTACAAATTCCAAATCCCTTCAAAATCACTCATATTTCACTCCATCAAATTATATTCAGGAAATCAAACGCTTCTCGATCTCAGGCTCAGCTACAGTTTCAGTAATGGCTTCTGCTGCTAAAAAGGTACCATCTGAAGCTCTCAATTGTTTGGTTTTCCAAGTTAAATACTTGATTGAGTAGTCCTGTTTTTCCCTTGTTATAGGTTTTGGTTCCGGTGGCGAACGGGACGGAGCCGATTGAGGCGGTGGTGCAAATAGACATACTGCGGAGAGCTGGAGCCGAAGTTACGGTGGCTTCGGTGGAGAATAGGCTTCGAGTCGATGCCCTACACGGAGTTAAGATTGTTGCAGATTCGCTCATTTCCGATTGCGCCGATACTGAGTTTGACCTCCTCTCTCTTCCGGTATGTTTCCATACTCTAATGATGCGTATTGCATCAGTTCCGGTTCTCTGCTTGGTCTTTTGGCCAGTCACCTGAATTGGTTTTCAGTGACGTCGATCAGCGCGGCTCCATCACTCAGGACATTGATCTACCACCCGAGATCAGTGACCTGCCCGTCCAATGGCTGATCCTAATTCTGAATTAGTGCAGTCTATAGTTTCATTGCCTAGTCCTGTTCTAGTACAGTAAATGCGTTTCAGATTCGACCAACTCAACCCTATCTGTCCTCAGACTGACCTCGCACAGGCCTGCTTACTGCTTAGGCGCTACCTAGTACCTATTGATAATTGGAAGCAGTTTTAAGTTGTTCTACACTCACATTGTTTCCTTGGTTAATGCACAAAGATTGATACTTGTGTTAATTTCCAAACACACAATTTTAACAAGTGTAATGCTACAACGTCACCTACTCATTGATGTAAGTGTAAAATTACAATTTGGTAGTAGTAACCTATTGCGGCCATCTATCATTTTTCTTTATGCAATCGGATTGTATCATTGTAACACTTGTGGGTCGTGAACTCGTGACTATCATAAATATTTATATTTTAAGTTTTTAACCTTTTTGTTTATGTTTTCATACTATTAGTCTTACTCTGACATTAGGTTTTCCTATTGATGATATGAACTCACTACAGCATCGTATCGTGTCTATTTTTTTCTTTGTTATATTTTGCCTTCCAGTATAGGTATTGTCATATTGATCAGTCTTATTTGATCGCTACTTATTAGTATGCCATTGATAATTGCAGGGAGGGATGCCTGGTGCAGCTACCCTTAGAGACTGCAAAACTTTGGAAAGCATCTTCAGAAAACATGCAGAAAGCAAACGGTTATATGCGGCAATTTGTGCCTCTCCGGCAGTTGCACTTGGTCCGTGGGGACTGTTGAAGGGCCTTAAGGTATTAATCTCAGGTCATTGGATCTCATTTTTTGGACTTTCAGGGTACTAATTCGTTTTTTTTTTCAAAAGACTATGGCTATAAATGAATGAGTTGAGATGTTGAGTACTTGATCTCTTTGTCAAACTAAAATGATTTGAGTTTCAATGTGATAGAACCCAAACTATAGTTCATGAATGTAATCACAAGGCATCAAATGTATATTCAGGGGAGTTTTCATTTTAGTTGTGCACCTTTCTCATGGACAGGCAACTTGTTATCCATCATTCATGGAGCAACTTTTGCCTGCTGCAAATGCTGTCGATTCAAGAGTGCAGGTGGATGGAAATGTTATCACAAGTCGTGGACCAGGAACTGTCATGGAGTATGCTGTTGCTCTGGTTGAGCAGTTGTATGGAACAGAAAATTGTAATGAAGTTTCAAAGCCACTGGTATGTGAAATTTTGGTTACTTTTGAATAATAATAATAATAATAATACATATAAGTTACTTCAGTTCCTGGTCTGCACTTGTTGAATTTTTTTGCATCGGTTACTTCATTTATCCTCTCTTAACCTTGTTTGTTTTGGAAAGTACTTTTATAGGTTCCATTTTATTTTATCATTCATTCATTCATTATTTTCCATCATTTGCAATGGAGCCAAAGATTCATTATTTTTTGGTTTGAGAATATGATGGAATAAAGCAAAATGGCTCACTAAACTGTCTGCGCTTCTTTTTTATGAAGCATCAGTCAGTCCATGCAATTTTGGAAGCGATTTTCATCAGTCAATACTTTTTTATAAATTGCATGGACTGAATGATGCTTCATAAAAAAGAAGCGCAGACAGTTTAGTGAGCCATTTTGCTTTATTCCATCATATTCTCAAGCTAAAAAATAGTGAATCTTTGGCTCCATTGCAAATGATGGAAATGATGGAAAAAATAGTGAGCCATTGCAAATGATGGAAATTTCCATTTTATTTCATCATTGATCAAATTGATTATTGATATAATCTGTTGTTTCATGATGCTTTGCAATCTATGCGTATTGTTCAGGTAATGCGCTCTAATCACGGTGATGGATATACATTTACTGAACTCAATTCAGTAAATTGGACAGTTACTAATAACCCACAGGTGAGGTGCTCAGTTGTGTGAGATTAATAATTGTCAGTGATTTAATTTTTCCCGAAACAATGTTACCTATAATCCCCCAATTATACTTTTTGATTACATTTCAACCAGATTCCCTTTAATATAAAAGGCCCAGTTAAGGGTCTGTTTGCAACAGCTTCTGCTTTTAAAAAAGTGCTTTTTTTAATGAAATGAGGAGAAGTGATTAAATAAAAGTTGATAGTGTCTGAGAAAAAAGTGATTTTGAAAAGTAAAAGTGAGTAGTGTTTGGTAAAATAAGTGCTTTTTGTGTAATAGAAAAAGTAAAAACACTTTTGACGCGGAAGCCGAGAAAAATAAAAGTTGTAGTGTTTGGGAAAATAAGTGCTTTTTTAAAGCCAAAAGCTGAGAAGTGCTTTTTTAAAAGCAGTTGCAAACCAACCCTAAGTAATTTTGCATAAACTAATTCTATCATGTATATGACTCTATGTGCCTTCTTCAGATACTGGTACCCATTGCCAATGGATCTGAGGAGATGGAAGCTCTTATTATTGTTGATGTACTTCGACGAGCTAAAGCTCAAGTAGTGGTGGCATCTGTTGAAGATACACTAGAGATTGTTGCTTCTAGGAAAGTGAAATTGGTTGCTGATGTCCTGCTTGAGGATGTTGCCCAGAGTACATATGATCTGATTGTCTTGCCTGTAAGTTCGATGCCTTTCTTTATATATTCTGTAACCTTTATAGACAACTCATTTCTCATCATTATTACTATGCAGGGTGGGATTGGTGGTGCCCAGGCATTTGCAAACTCAGAAAAATTGGTCAACATGTTGAAAACCCAAAGAGAATCAAACAAACCGTATGGAGCAATATGTGCTTCCCCTGCCCTAGTCCTTGAACCACATGGTTTGCTCAAGGTGAGTTTATTATTAGATGATGGATCTAACTGTTATGGCTGATCTCAGACACGTTAGAAATTAGTTACCATAGATTTCTTGAGTGAATATGGACTGCCACAGTGCTTCTTTCTAACAGCACTTTTGCAAGAAGCCTTCTTTATTAATCTGCTTCTGGTAGTACTTTCTTTATCCAGTAGTTTGATTTACATTTTCAGGGTAAAAAGGCTACTGCTTTTCCAGCATTGTGCAATAAGCTCTCAGATCCAAGTGCAATAGAGAATAGGGTGATAGTTGATGGTTATCTCATCACAAGCAGAGGGCCAGGAACTACAATGGAATTTGCACTGGCCATTGTGGAAAAGTTCTTTGGACGCAGTAAAGCCCTAGACCTTGCCAAGGGGATGGTTTTTGTGCAGCAGTAAAGCTAGTAGGTGTCTTTATGTTGTTTCTGTTTTATGACAACTACCATTGCACAGATGATATCCAGTTCAGTGTAATAAAAGCATACAAAAGAGGGGAACATTCGTCTATAGAATTGTTCTTCAGTTTGAAGAGATGTTACAACTTACAACTAGATCACTACATTTTAGTACACTCCCATCCAAATAATCCCAAAAAACTCAAAAATTATATGAAGTGTCATTCTCTTAGGTCCCGTTTGGTAATGGTTATGTAGCTTAAATGGCAGAATCTCCTGATTTTAATGAAAGTAGAAGAATTATTCTCTTAATTTTTGCTGATAAGCAGAATAAGCCAGATAAGGCAACCAAACTGCTAAATGCTAATTCAAGTACTCCGATCAGATATGGAAGTGAAAGTCATGGTTGCTTGTGTAGTGGAGACGGCAGGGCTCTGTAGCGATAAAGGCTTATTATTTTCATTACCTGGTGCTGCAGATAAGGTATGCATGCTCTTTTTCATTCTATTTCTGAGGCCCATCCCTTCAGGCAATAGACTAGGCTCTGATATCTCCATGCCATCCACATTCATCTCCCCTGTCAACATTTTCACCACTGTTGGCATAGACGGTCGGCTATTAGGCATGAAATTGGTGCATAACAAAGCAATCTTTATATATCTAAAGGCTTCATCTATATCAAAATTCGCTCCTAGTGAAAAATCAACCAACTCAGCAAGCTCCCCTTTCTGATAGAATTTCCATGCCTGCATATCAAACAAACTCGTCCGATCAAATTCTTACCCATTCATTGGAAGTTTGAACCTAATGGGTTATTAGTTCATCAAGAGCCTAACTACTTTGAATCTGCCATCAGGTCAGAAATGCAATGCTCTAAAAAGTGTTGGGGGGCGTTATTTACCAGACTAGAAAATGTTTTGCAAATTAAAAAATTTATACCCTTTCAAGAAGATATTGATCAGCAAGTGGTAGTCTCTTGTTAGTGTTGGATCTTCCACTAACAATTTCCAGGAGAAGTACTCCAAAGCTGTAAATGTCAGCTTTTTTTGTCAATTGGCCGCGAATCACATATTCAGGAGCCAAATAACCCCTGCAGCCAAATAAGTCTACTTTTAGCAAGTGTTTGGAAGCATGGAAATAGTGTGGTAGAGAATGGAACAGACAGTTTTTGAGGCAATTCAATGGGTTGGTTGAAGGGAAATTGAGGACAGATGAGTGGAAGTGGTTTATAACCCTATCAAACCCTTTTTTTCATTCAAATATTTCCTCCTTATTTTCTACTTTTTCTAACCAAACAATTCTTACTTAGTTCTATTTCTCTCATATTATTTTCTTCTCTTACCAGCCTCTCATCCCTTTACTTCCTCCCCCCTACCAAACACAGCCTTACTGAACTTGAGAAGAGTGACTTACGGGGTCCCAGCTATGCGCGTACTGATATGAGTGAGGTTGTCGGGGAAAAGCTTGGCAAGGCCGAAGTCAGAAATCTTTGGGGTCAAATCTTTGTCAAGAAGGATATTGCTTGCTTTAATATCTCTATGAATAATTTGAGGCTGGATTTCTTCATGAAGGAATGCAAGTCCCCTGGCAACCCCTATGCATATATTTCTCCTTCCACTCCAGGTAAACTGAATCCCACTTGACCTAGATCCTACAAATTAATGAAGTAATCATGAGTCATCAGGCAAAAAAGCTGGACTTGGAACCTCTAGGAGAGAGGGAGAGGGAGAGAGAGATCACCTATAAGAGTCTGAGCAATGCTATTATTCTCGAGATAACCATAGACCAATATCCTATGATCGCCTTCTACACAACACCCGTGTAGCTTTACCAAATTTTCATGTTCCAACCCTGAGATAACCACAATCTCTGTCAAAAATTCTTTAACACCCTGTCTTGAATCGACTGAGAGAACCTTAATAGCAGCTAAAGTTCCATCGCTCAAGCTTCCCTATTCAAGTGAAACAAATCATCTCAGTGCAAACAAGAAATGGGTACTAGGTCTTCCAAATTGGTTTGCTACAATAAATCACCATCTTGCAAGGACATCCTAAGCCATGACAACATTACATATATTAAGTGGCTATTTCTTTCAGGTTGAAGTTCAAGGATGAAATCTCAAGTTAAATAGGTCATACCTTGTAGACGGTGCCGAACCCTCCCACTCCAATTTTGTTTGATGGGCTAAAATTTTCTGTAGCGAACCTCAACTCTTTGTAAGTGTACAGCTTTATGTTCTGAATGCTGGAAATCTCTGCCAATTTCAGATTAACTATAATTACCATAAAAACTGATGCCATCTAAGTTGAATTATGATAAGAGGGGTCCAACTAACCTTCTTCAATGTCTACTTGATGATGTCCCGGGGGAGGCGACTTCCTTCTGTGGCAGATGGGGAAAAAACACGACGTCATACTACCAGTTTGATTAAGAAACACTACAACTCTCATATATGCAGCCTCCTATCAGGGTAAAAGTTATTCAATAAGAATTTGGCTATGTGTATATTCCACTATCTAAAATGCCATTCCACGGCACAAAAAGCCTCTCTTCACCAGTTTGTGTAAGAATATCAATCACAACAGAAGACCAAGAGTATTTTTTAAAGGAAGATATCTATCTTCAGGATCCAGTCAATTGTTCAATAATTGGGAAGGTTCACCTCCATGCAGTTAGCAGAGCAAGTTTGACTTTCCATAGTAGGTCCAAAGTTGAAAAAGTTATGCCAGGCCGACAGCCATATCTATGATCTAACGACAAATTTGGTAGAAAGTACTACATTATATCAAATTCTGAAAATGAGCCTTCCAATTATCTGAATGGGTTACTCGACATATGTAGAAATTAGCATTACAATTATCAAAAATGTTTTATTTAAGATTCATTTTATTTTAAAAAATAAACAGTGACAATGGTCATTTTCAACAAGCACAGCAAAAATCTTTTCAGCCTTATATTTTTCATTATTATTAGCTTTGCAGCTTCGTGCGTAGTTAAAAAGAGTATTTCGATTAGGGCTGCACATCGGGCGGGTTGGGTCGGGTTGGCTATATTTTTTGGGCCTACCTGATTTGTTCGGGTTGGCTATTAACCAACCCGCGGTACGCAAAATAAGTTGGTAAACCATGCATGAATGGGTCGGATAGGGTCGGATATTGGAAGAAAAAATCACTTCGGGTTGCATCTTTCATGTGGGAAATTAATGTAACCAATTTGAAATTCGATTAATTTGTTTCCAAAACACACAAATAATTACAAGTACTCGTATCTTTTATAAGCAAAAACATTAGATAATAGTATTAAAACATCCTTCCGTAAAGGAAGTTCATTTAGAAGGGAACGTAAATATATAATAATCACCTAGTCAAAATGATAAATGTTTAATTATAATTCTAATATCATAAAATCCTAGATAGAGCATATTGGTCTTAAATTTAAATTATCCAAGAAAACGTTGTAGCATAATAATAGTAAAATGAACTTCGGCCGGGTCGGGTACTATCGAGTTTGAGATTTTAATTCCGCAACCCTACCCATTAGGTGTGGGTTCAAACATATTTAACTCATGAATATTTTTAAAAATCAAATACCCAATTAAATAGGGTCGGATAGGGTAGGGTTGGGCGGGTTATGCGGGTTCGGGTTATTCTTTTGCAGCCCTAATTTCGATTGCTAATCAAATTAATACTCAACAAGTAGAAAATGGCCACTTAGATTGTGTAGAGATTAGCGACGAAGGAGGTAGGAAACCGATCGGCCAAGACAGCAAGACTTCCCAACCAAGTTGTGACAATTGACGGGTTGTCAAAATCGTATTTAGATTTAAATACTCCGTATATTTTTTGCCTTGGTGCTTTTTTGTTTTAGATGATTATAATTGTTCAACCCCTCCATTATACAAAAATTTCTTTGGGATTATTTTAGCGGGATATCAATAGCAGATTTGGTCGACGGGTTTGACTATTGGAATAAATTGATGGTTAGAAGATATTTGGTAATTTAGCTGTTTGGGCATAAAATTTGTAGAAAACGTCATTTTTCAAAATGTCAACCCAAAATTCACCTAGCAACAGCGTTTTCATTTCAGCGTTTCTATCCAAAAACGTTGGTGCCGAACAACTATTTTTCAAACAGTTTTTCACTTATTGAAAATGGTAAAAATGGTCAAATCGTCATTTTTCGGCTGAAACGTCGTTTACCAAACGCTCCCTTTGCGGCCCCTATATAGTTATTATACTCTCTCCGTCCCAATTTGATGATCTCATTTCTTTTGAGCTCAAAGATTAAAAGTTGTGGTTGAGATTTGAGTAGAAAAATGTGAAATGATGTGGACCACATATTTCTTTCTAAAAAGGGAAATGGGACTATCAATTTGGGACGACCCAGAAAAGAAATACGAGATCATCAAATTGGGATGGAGGGAGTAGAAGACTTTGTATTTAGGAAAAATTAAGAAATAATGACCTCAATAATACTAGTAGCTTATGACCGGACACAAATAAGCCCCAATTTAAAAAAAGACAAAAAAAAGAGACTAAATTACACTGAAAGGACCAAAATGCCCACAATTTAAAATCTAAAAAATCACCCCATGAACTGCCCGAACTCCTCCCGTCTTTCCAGTTTCCTCAGACCTTGTCCTCTCTCCTCTGTATTCGCAACGTACCTCCTCCTCCATGATGGGAACGAGCAAGAGACCGAGCATGACAGGATCCTGGCGAGGCTGATGGCTGTTGCGATGATTGAAAATGAAGATCGACGGTGAGGCGCGGCGGCGGGCGACGCAGTCGAAGGCGAGCGACGATGACGGGCACGGCGGCGGTTGACGGTGATAAAGACGGCTGAAAGGAATGGCCTCGATGATCGATTTCGATATGTTGTGCGCTGCTTTGGATCTAGGTTGCTTTTTGGCCGATTGGGGGTCAAATCGATGGTGGACAGGATTTATAGGCCGCCGGTGGCGGCTATGGCTTCTCATCCCGGCAGTGCGGCTAGGGATTCTATCGCTGAGGTGCGTTTGGGGGGGTGGTCGGCTTAGCCCTCGCGGCTAGTTTGTGAGGCAGAGGATGGCTGGTCGGAATTGGGGCCTGGGAGGTGCGAATTGGGGCTTGGCTTCTCGGATCTGGAGCTCCGGAGGGGGGCTGGACAGGGGGCGGGGCTAGGGTGTGGCTGGGGCTAGGTCTGAGGGACTGGTGAGGGGCAGGGTGTTAGACAAAGGTGGGGCTGGGGTTAGGGTGGGTAGGGCAGGGGGCTGGGTTTGGGTTGGACACAGTCCGGGGAGGTTGGCCACCGGAGTGATGGCGGTGACTCGCGTTGGTGGCCTGCAGTGGTACTACCGGTGGTCACTCTTGGCTCGGGTAATTAAACTAGTCAAATTAGACAATTTTAATTGGTTGTGTAACTGTAATTGGTTTGCTTATGTAATTGTAACTGGTGAGTTGAGTAACTCTAATTGTTCAAGTCAGATAACTATAACTGGTCGAGTTGAGTAACTGTAATGACTCATGTCAGGTAACTGTAAATGGTCGGATAATTGTAACTGGTGAGTCGAGTAACTCTAATTGCTCAAGTCATGTAACTGTAACTGATCGGATTGAGTAATTGTAATCGACAAATTAGATAATTGTAACTGGGGATTGCATGTAACTGGTGGGACGGGTCACTGGAAGTTATTTGGTCACTGACATTTTTTTGTCACTGATCAATTTTTCGTCATTTAAGATTACTAGTATCTGACGAATCAAATAGCTGTAACTGGGATTGCTGGTAACTGTAACTGTAGCGGGTTGGGTAACTGTAATTGGACGGGCATGCATTGATCACTCTACGGGCATGCGTTGGTTACTGGACATGGCAAATTTAGTCACTGGATGGGTGGGCATTTGTCACCGGCATGCGTTGATCACTAGATGGACGGGCATGCGTTGATCACTCTACCAGCGAAAGAACATTAGTCACTGGTCACTGAACGGGCGAATATTGGTCAGACGAACGGACATTGGTAACTGGAGTGGTAGTAACTGAGATGATGATCACTAAAATGGTAACAACTGAGACGATGTCAATTGAGCCATAATACTAATCGGGACGGTGGTCACTGGAACGGTAGTAACTGAGACAATTCACTTGAGCTATAACATTAATTGGGGCGGTGGTCACTGGAGCGTTAGTAAGTGAGACAATGTCACTGGAGCGATAATTGTAATTGAGACGGTTGTCATCGGAGCGGTAGAAACTGAGACGATGATCACTAAAATGGTAACAACTGAGACGATGTCAATTGAGCCATAATACTAATCGAGACGGTGGTCACTGGAACGGTAGTAACTGAGACAATTCACTTGAGCTATAACATTAATTGGGGCGGTGGTCACTGGAGCGTTAGTAAGTGAGACAATGTCACTGGAGCGATAATTGTAATTGAGACGGTTGTCACCGGAGCGGTAGAAACTGAGACGATGATCACAAAAACGATGATAATTGAGATCATTTTCACTCAAATTGTAGTGTAATAAATTAAATATTTAAGACTATATGCAACCTATCTGGCTATCTTAAGAAAAAAAATTAAAATAAAAACAAATATTAAATAATATTTAAATCAAAAGATGCATTAATGATTACAGTGGAAATAATTTTTGGAGAGTACCGTCAGATTCTTGATGCACTACAAATCTACCATACGGAGTAGTAGTCAATGTTATGCAGAGTTGCGGACCGAATGTTCAACAAGCAGGAGGGCAATTTAGAGAAGTATATTTTTATTAGTCACATATTTGGGAATTAAGAAAAGAGGTTTCTTTTTTGTCCATTGTCTATTTTTTAGTAGTATTGGTGTCAAAACCCCAAAAATTAATATCGTTGGCATAATTCTACTTTTATCCTTATCCATGTACTCCGTATACGAGTATTCTTTTACACACTACTATTCGTTGAGTTAAAACTGAGTTAAAAAAACATTTACCTTTTTTTCAAATACTCCTTCCGTCCCATTTTACCTGTCCTACTTTCTTTTTTTGGGTTGTCCCAAAATAAGTGTCCATTTTCCCTTTTTGGAAAGAAATATGTGACCTACACCATTTCACTTTATTATACTTAAACTTCAACCACAACTTTTACATTTTAACCACTTCATTAATAATCGTGTCAAGTCAAACTAAGACACATAAAATGGGACCGAGATAGTACTTCGTATGTCCTAGGCCCAGTTTGTTGACTTTGTTTGTCGGCTTATGAGCCACTCTCACAACTTTAAACGTCATTACTGGTTGATGTTTTATACTTTTTATAAAACATTGTGACATTTTTTTATACTTTTTATACTTTATACGAGTATTCGCAGTTGATGACATTTTTTTATACTTTTTGTGTTAATCTTTTAACTGTCTCAATTTTAACATTGTGATTTGTGGCATGGAGACCGGTGACATACGAACATTACGAAGTATTCACTATCTAAGTCTTTTCAAAGCCAATACAGTAGACCATACTCCATAGACACATAATGCATACGAATACTCCCTCCGTCCCAGAATTAACTTCGGTTTTGACTGGGCACGGGGATTAAGATAGTGGGAATGTGTGGTGGAGAGTTGTGCAAAGGAGAGAGAAATGTGTAAGAATGATTGTGAACCACAAATCATTTGCCAAAAAAGGAAAGATGGGGTAAATTTGGGACGGACCGAAAAGGAAAGAATGAAGATAATTTCGGGACGGAGGGAGTATTACGGATAGGGGTGGTCCAATATTTGGCCGAACGCGAATCCGGACAGTTACTATTCAAACGGTTCGGTTCGGTCTTAGACCTAAACTCGTTTGGTACGGTTTCATTTTGAAACGGGACGGTACCATTCCATACCAATATCAAACAATGCCACTTTTCCAAGTGTGTAAGAGGAAATTAAAGTTTAGTCATTATTCAAAAATCCACACAATTTATCAATTTTCATACTCATTCCATCCCAAATTGACATGCAAAGTCATTATTTTTTAGTCAACCAAGGTTAAAGTTAAATTCTCTTTATTGATAAAATGAAATTGTTTGACCAAGAAAAGTTAATTTTGCAAATCAATTTGGGACGAATGTAGTATTACATTAATTAATATCGGTGTGTATAAACGGGCCAAACAAACCTTTAACAATCGGAATTGGCTCTGATACCATGTTAAGACTCGGGGTTTCATCCTAATAGGTCAACCTGATAGGAGGGTAGTCCGTGTGTTAATATAGCACTTTGTTCATCCAAACTTTTTTGGTGCGGAGCATTTAACACCTCTCCTCACAACCAGACAGTTCGTCTGAATCGTGCCATCATTCATTTTTTTTCATCGGTCCGTTTTTTTCATCCGACTGTAATTCTCATTTTTTCTATATAATCGTGTCATCACGATTCATAAGGGGCCCCACACCATGGATCGATTCGACGCTGATACCATGTTAAGACCTGGGGTTCCATCTTAAAATGTCAACCTCATAAAAGTAGTCCAAAACCTTATATAGGGGTTAATTGTTTTATAGTTTTTTAGTGTGGGACAAATGTTTTAACAGTTATCCTAACAACATACTATAACGTTGGAATCTTCACAAATTGAAAGTGGGTGAGATTATGAATAGTGGCAGAGAATATAAATGGTTGAGGGTATGATGGGAAGATAATAAAATAGTGTGATGAAATGAAGGATAAGTCCAAAAGAAGCAGGTGTAATAGTGTATTATTTTTAAAATTATTGGGGATATGATAGAAACATTTAGAAATGGAAAGATTATTTTGTTACGGTTAAAAAAAGAAAGTGAGAAGATGTTTACGACACGGAATTAGTATTTGTTGGGGAGGAGTGACAGATAGAATGAGTGCTCTATGAATCAGCCGCACGCCCCAAGTTTTTGATTGTTTCTTTCCGCTTTCTGTAAACTCGAAGACCCGCGCTAGCTTTGCTTCAATGCAATTTTTCCACTATAGATTTTAGAGCAATTTCCGCTTTCTGTTTGTTTCTTTCCGCTTTCAGTACCGTTATTATAAATCTGGTTTGATAAATTCTATGGTACCCAAAAGGTATCATACCTTTGTCTACATGGATCAATGAGAATGTAGCAATTGAATTATTTAAATCTAAATTAAAAATGATAAAGTGATGTTGTTTAATCGATGCCAGAGTTGTCACCATCTGGTAATCTGGTTCATTATGAGAAGGATCAAATTCCCGTTCTGTGGGAGATCGTGCCCAGCCCAGGTAGGTGTGGGAGTATTAAATTTTGAGGTGCCGGCCATTAAAAGCCTTCCTGCCACTATCGGGAAACCCAAAACAATTCATTTCCTTCTCCTCTCACATGCCCACGCACCCAATTCCCTTCTCATGGCCGCAGTAGCAGTGACGACGAGGACAATCGCCGTCCTCCTCCTAGTGGTGGTTGGGCTGGACGTCACCGACGCGCAGGCGCCGGCGGGGGCTCCGTCGGCGGCGGCGGAGGACTGCGTGACGGAGTTGCTGGGGATGTCGGATTGCTTGACGTATGTGGAGGCAGGGAGCAACCTGACGATGCCGGAGAAAGGGTGCTGCCGGGAGCTGAAGGAAATTGTGAACAATCACCCCGTCTGTTTGTGCAAACTTCTGGCTGACCCCAACAATAACAATGTCGGAATCGCAATTGAGCTCAAGAAGGCCTTCAATCTCCCAGCGGTTTGCAAGATTGATTCCCTTTCTCCCAGCCTCTGCTCAATTCCTGCTCAGGGGCCATCATCCGGAAAAGCAGGAAGTCCGTCTACTGCAACAGGTGATAGTGGTGGGTTAGCGTCTAGTCCGTCTGCTGGGAAGGGGGCCAGTGCTGCTCCAAGAATCACTGCCATTCCCTTCTTGCCTTGGCTGCTAATCTCTCTTTTGCATCTTTTCTTTAATTCTATCATCAGCCAAAATTCATTTAATTGATTTCCCACCATTCATGCCTTCTTTAATTTTCTACTTTGAGGGAATTTTGATTTCTTAACTATGTGTATTGTTTTGTCTAAAAAGAGCTGTGTTTACAATATTTCTTATATTTTTCTTGACATTTCATGGTATATATGCGTAATGTTTGCCCTAAAAGAAATGAGTGCTCTGTGAATCATTAGTTAGTTTTTTTATGGATATGCATTAATTGTGTTCTTTATTCTATGCTACTATTTTTGTGAAGTTAATGATTGAATGGTGCATATTATGCTATCTAGTCAAAAACTCATTCAAGTAAGAAAGCCAATAGAAAAAATAATTCTTAATAAAAGGATCAATTTTTTTAATTTAATTTATGATGGATGAACAAAGTTATGTGGATGGTTTCTTATAATACATCATTAATATCATTTTTAGTAACAGCACATTGTTGTGGTCTTGAACTAATTCAAGTTGAAGATTGCTATTAGTTATACTTACTTCCACTATTGCATTGTGAGGTTCAGAGATCAAAGTTGGGATAGGTGTTGAAATACATCATAACTTATGTCATTCCTCATAGAATCCTTTTTCTCATCCCCCTTAATGACAGAAAGAGTGGTTTAACAAAGTGACAATTCCCAATATGGTGTTATTGTTTCACATTCATATCCAACTTTAACGTCACTTTTCATTTAAGATCCATTATGGTATGAATTGGGAGGCATAATAAGCACATATGCTTAACAACAGATTATCAGCAAGTACAATCTCATCCTTTCCGATGTATAAAAAAAAAAGCAAGTACAATCTCAAGTTTATATATAATCAAAAAGTGTATGCATAAAACTGAGTGGGTAGTAGTGGTTCTACCAACAGATGTGTGAGGTTGCTCTAAATCCTATATAACAGGCATGTTGGTGTACACATAACTATTGTTATATCAATTATTTATATCCTTTAAAATGATATAAATATGATTCTCACGCGTATAATAAGATAACATGTGACTTGCATGTAAAATCATCCACAAAAACCATAAATGGTGTGGATGATTGCGATTTTAGGTACATAAGTCCATATATTTCCCAAGTTATTCTATGTAAAAATGTGAATGTTTTTCTTATTCATAACATCTGAATGTCTCAATGGTATTTACTCTAAAGTACATACTTTGCAGAAAGAATACACATATGACAAAAGTCAATGAAGTACACAAAAAATCTCTTCTTGTATTTTGGAAATTACATGTTGCTATCTAGCAGTATTTGGAGCTCCATTTTGCATTCTCCTATCTTATCCTTTACTAGGAAGAAAAGCTTTCCAAATCAGTTGTGTCATAGCGTGTATGAGTCAATATCACATACAGACAGAACAATCGAAATAATAGTGATATACATTTACTAGATTTACTTATTAGTTTCTCTTATATACATTTTTTGTTCATCAAAAGTAATATATCTATTCTATGATTTTTCCATGTACTTCAGTATAAAAAATGGTATCATAAAATAAAGGTAATTAATGAAAATGTAGAGTGCAAAGCAACGTAAAGAAAAACAAAGTACGAATGTATATATTTACTCCCTCTGTCCCTGATTATCATCCAACTTTTCATTTTTGTCCATCCCAATATAATCTTCATTTTTCTTTTTTTCGGCAAAGATTTTGTGTCTTCACTATTTTAATTTCCATGCCAAATGTACTTTGGTAGATAATTTAGGGACGGGGGACTATGTAGGTGTGTTTGGAAAGAGAAAATAGAAGAAGTTAACTTTTTTATACATTAATTTGGATGTGAAAGAATACTGCAAATTGAGTCATATGATGTGCACCTACTTTTTGAGTACTTTTTTGCTTACCTGTTTTTATACGAATTTCTTACATTTTTTCTTGTGTATATCTTACGAATTGCCTGTACACACATGTGAAATGCAGAGGCACGTAAAAATGGCATCTACAATACAGATTTTTACAACTTTTTTACTCGTCTCCAGCTCTACTATGAGTACATTATTTTACTCTTCTTCCACCCCTCCAAACATATTGTTAAGCTCTAACCTCTTTGTTGACACATTGTAAAGCTCAGGCCCAGTCTTAGGGCATGAGCAACCGGGCATTTGCACAGGGCCCATCACTCCTTTAGGACACATAAATTTCTCAGTATATATATACTATTTATTTTAATTGTATATGCAATATATATCTATAAAAATGTAATAAAAAATTAAACTAATTTTTTATACTTTCAATTCATTATTCAAAAACATCTACAAGCTACAAGTTTGAAATTTTGAAATTAGACATCAACACCAGAATTTCTTGAGAACAAACTATACAATTTCTTTTGATTCATTAAGAGTTAACACATAAATGTTTAATATTTTCAACTACTTTTCTATGTAAACCCATAGATTCATTGATAGTATTTTACTAGTTTTCTTTGATTCTCTCATTTAAGTGAAAGAATTAAGAAATTTGTGGTTTGTTTTAGTCTAATGAAAATATTATTTGAAATATGAAAACGTATTTCATATATGATAAAACTTTCAAGTGTTTCCCTAATTCAATTTTTTCATGACGAGTATAAATTATACGGAGTACTATTTCCCATTCTGCCGGTGTAGGTACATGGTATTCTCGAATGTCACTCATCTAATATTTAAATATAATCTTTCTAACCATCGCCTTTATTAATTTTTTGGTGTGTTATATATACTCGTATTCAGATGATAAAACTGCTTAATTTTACTTATATATTTTTTATAAACATTTACACGATATCACTAAGACCTACTCTATCTATACTTTTGGGCCTGGTAAAAGCTTTAACTCAATCGAATCAAATAATGTAGGAGTTGAGGCATGACGTCTAACGTCATAAGAAAAATTAACTCTGATTTTCAAAAGTTTCCAAAAAATTAAAAGATTAATACTAGAAGGTGTGTCTCGTCAAGGAGACTAACAAACTATTATTCTCTTTGGATTTTTAGGCTCAATTTGGATTATTTTTTAAAAACTAATTTGCTAATATCATTTTTCCGGTTGACTTTCTGGCAACAGGGTGACCGAAAGCAAAAAATGAAAGGTGGTCTGGAGGTCTTCTTGACGAGGCGCACCTACTGATATTTTTCTTTTAACTTTTTGGAAATTTTTGAATAGTGAAATTAATTTTTTCAATACGTCATGCCTCGATTGTGATAACAAAATTGAACCACATATAACATTTTGTTAAAAAATGAAAGACGTGCCCCATATAAAAACGATCCAAACCACATGTTTCTTTTCCTTGTACTTTTCCCACAAAAATTGTTTCTCCTTTTACTCAGCCAAACACAGCCTTGCACGACTCGCACACAAGCTCGGAATCCACTCGGGTCTATTTCACACTACCCGTCAGTCTTGGATTTTGGCCCCGTGATTTCTACAACTTCCACGTTGTTCAGAGATTCATTTCAACCATTCATGGCTTTTCCCCATCCGCAGGGCTCACCTACAGGAGCTACCGCCGATCAGATGAATCTCACCGTAGCGTCGTCTCCTTTAACTCCGCCGGCAAGTGCAATTTATGCTTTCTCATTCCTTACACAATTACAATCAAAGCATTCATCAGATTTTAACAGGCTTTTACCTACTGTAAATCTGTAATCATTATGATTATTTATGAATGAATAGAAATTCTTGCTTTTAGCAATCACTTAGAGTTTTTGAATTTCGGGCTGGTCTTTTTTACTGGTTTTTCGATGTTGGACCCTGCGAGCGTTTATTCTGTCTGGAAAATAGAGTTTAGCTCCTGTAATGGATTTTTTAGCATTCTGTTAACACGGAATTCCTACTTTATCCTTCGGGCAATTCCGTCCAAGAACAAATGCAGTTTATGAAGTTTGGTATTTCAAATTTGAATCTTTTCTTCTGTTCTTACTTCTTACTATGTTTGTATTTGTAATGACAGTGGTGTGTGTTTTTATAAATAAAAAACCTTGTATAGATTATACGGAATAGTGTTTTACAAACATGGTCATGGGTTTAAATGTGGACTAAGGCCTTTATATATTTGGTTTGAAAATTGTTGCGGAAAAGGAAAACAACACTTGGCTCCATAACTCTGTAGGCTGCATGTTTTCATGTGGGGAAATGATTGGCTAAGTGATTGGCTCCATAACTTTAATTTTATTAGTGTACTTGAAGATGAAGTAAGGATGCAAGTTAGCTGAGCAAGCAAGCATCTTCTTAAGCTTGGGTTGGTATTTTGTTGAGCCTGCTAAAGAAGCATTGGGGGCAACTAACTGAGTGAGACAATGAGTAACATAACCACTTGAGCCTCTCAAGCGGTATGTCGCTCTCTTGGAGACGTGCTCATGCTCATAGACCCTTTGAGTCGGGCCATACTGTTTACCACTTTATTGTATTTCATCAGCTCCTTTTTCTTTTTCTTTTGTAGTTTTTCTTTTTTATCAATTCTCAAGTAAGGCTTGATTCTAGTATGGTTGCCTGTGCTTTATACATAGTATGTGCTTGCTCCAGCTTCATGTTTCTGATCTTGGTATATGCACTCATATTAAGTTGTGCCCGAATAGTGTTGTGCTTGGACTGGGTTGGCACGAGCATGCCCCCCAAAGCTATAGAGATTTCGGATTAGTGATTTACGGAGTATTAAAATAAAAACTTGAGTTTACTAAAAAAAAGTTTAGGAGTAACTAAAGACTCGATGTCTTTTGGCTTGGGAATATGATGAAATAAAGCAAAATGACTCACTAAAATGACTCCCCTTACCCCACGGCACTGGGGTAATGTTGTATTTGGGTAAAAGTGCAGACGTACTTCTGAGTGGTCCAAATTGCTTCTAGAAGAAGTTTTTTTCAAGTTTTTGAAAAACTGATTCTGCTTTTTCTTCTATTTTTGAAAAAGAAGCAGAAGAAAAATCAATTCCAAATACTCCTTTAGTATTGTTTTGGATAATGTTTCTTCTAGTGTAGTGTTCTACAAACTTCAGATCCAAATATTTTCTCTTAAAACCTGGTTGATCATGATTGCCATTTTTGTAAAGGCGCACTCAGAGTCATATTTTGCCAAACTGACAAATTGGCCCTACTGTCAAGAAAACAGCAACTGGTCCTCCACAAAAAAAAATAGTTTGATAACTTGCTATTTTCTGCTAGTGTACATCCTAGATAGTCTCCCCCACAATGTTTCAGTTTGTGTAACACTAGTTGGTGTTTCTCTCAAAAATATATTGCTGTGTCTTTGAAATGCATGGAAACTTTAGAATTAGCTTTATATATTTGAAGATAATGCGGAGACTTTGAAAAGAATGAACTTCCAATGCAATTCTAGAGTATTTCTTTATTTATTATTACAATGGGGTGTGTTCTAACTTCTAAGTAGTTTGTGTATGCTCTTTCTTTAGATGGTAGAAGGAAACAATGAAAATATTATGGATACGACAGATCTGACTGACACAAGCACAGGCGAGAAACGAAAAAGAGAAGGAAAGCTTAGATCTGTTGTTTGGCAACATTTCACAAAGCTTATAAGGGAGGACGGGACCTGCGAGAAATGCAAGTGTGGCCATTGCAATAAGCTTTTCACTTGCTCAAGTCGAAGCGGAACAACACATTTGCTTCGCCACTTAACTGAGGGAAGATGTCCAGTCTTTAAGCTTGACAAGAAGGATGACCACGCACTTACAAATACAATCAATTTCAGTTGTTCGAGTGGTAAAACTGATAGAAAAAGAACCATGCTTCTTCCTTGGAAATTCGAACAGCCACTTGCTCATCAACCCATTGAACACTCCATTGACATGGCCAATGACTTCTTCATAGGGGAGGAGGGCTTAGAAGATCTTGACCCTCGAACCAGTGGATACCCAGATGGTGACTTGGTCGGACAATCGTCAACATCTGCTGCATATGCTAAACTCCCTCAACAGAACACAAAAGGATCTCAATTGAGTGGAGAGGCATGGGTGAATGAGTTGAGGGCATGCACAAGCAAACTTGTCAAACTCACAAATGAGCAGTTTCCTAATAGTTTGTTCTTGAAGACTTGTTTGGCTGGAAGTGGTCCTGATTACTCCCTACGTACAGCCATAAAGTACTTGAATGAAATGGACGATACTATTCCAGAGTCGAGTGCAATGTACCTAGATGCTCTTGATATTATCAGAGATCCAGTAGAAAGGGAGTGTTTTCTTTCTCTAAACCCAGAGCCACGTAGAAAATGGCTTCAAAGGACACTACACCGCAGATATCCTTCTCGTTACAATAAAGACGTTTAAACGAATTTTTTGTGTGTTGGAGACTTTTCAGCTTGTTGTACTGTGTGTAGAGCTTGTCTGAATGGAAACAGGAAAGTCTAAGAATTCTATTGTACTTCTTGTTCTCAATATTTTCTTAAGTTCAAAACTAACACCGAGTTATGTACAAATAACAGTTAGAAAGGTAGAAATTAAATTTTATGTAGGCCAAGTATACGGGGCATTAAAATTGAACATTTTCTTGAGGCATCACTATACGGCATACATTCATTGCATGATTAACATTACTTGTTTGGTAACCTCATTTTTTGACTTAGTTGACTTATCAGTCAACTTTTTCAACAAATAGGTAGTTTTTGATTTGGCGCGTTGAATGGTGTAATAATCAAAATAAGTAGGTTGAAGTTACTTTTCGGGTTGTCTTGACTGAAGTTACAGTAGAAGAACATTTTAGCTATTTTTCATATAAATTTTCCTTTATTTTATTAATGAAAAGTATTTCAAACATATTTTTTCATAAACCAGGCAACCAGCCAACACAACAGTTACTTCAACTAGAATTTTATAAATTTTAATAGAATTAACTAATTCAGCTAATTTTACTGTTACCAAACGGGCTCTACATGTACACCACCTAATGAGGTTGTACTTAATAGGAATGCCTCCATTACATGTTAGTTTTTAATGCTCCTCGACTTCATCTTTTAATTATTGGTACCACATATTTACCTTTTAGTTCAATGTGATTGTAATTGTTTTCCCAGCGAATGGCGGTGTGTTTTATTTGAGTCCTGAAAGATAGATGAATTATTATTTCAGGATTCGAAAAATGAAATGTATCGATATATGATTCGAATGATGGACCTATCATTTCATAGGTTTTGATTTATTTAATTTTTATTAATTCAATTGTTAATTTTTTATAAACTTTACTTCACAAAAGTTTATTGGTTTAATAAAACTAAATAATATTTAAAAAAAATAAAAATAAAAATAATAATAAAATTCGTGACAACTTAGGTCCTAGATGGATAGCTTTCTATCATTAAGGTCCTAAATTGATAGTTTTTCATCATTCGTGTCTTATATCGATACATTTCATCTTTTATGTCTCAGATTGATAATTCATCTATCTTTCACGTTCTGGATCGATAAAATTCCTTGCTAATATGTACCGTACTGTATTCACCAAGGTCAACTTGATACATGCGATATTTTATGGATTCTTCTACTTTTATCCTCTAATCGTGCTTTGTTCTTTTGTTTTGATTGAAGTGTCTGCTTTAGGTTTAAAGATTCAATATATTGAAATTTCTCCTTGTTATAGAAAAAGATTTTTTTTCATAACTCTAACACGGATTTATTTAGAAAAAATTACCCTTTAGTCTATCTAAGCAGCTTTTGTTGGGACTGAAGCTGGGATGTTGTTCTAGTCCGTCTAAGAAGCTTACTGAGATGTTGAAGTAGGGAATGCGGCTTAATAATTTAATTTTTGTGTAGACTTGTTGATTTTAAGTTGTCTTATTATGTTGTATTTTACTATTTTTATTTTGCTTCTTGCCACGCTGCTCGTATTACCTTGTGTCCTGATGTAGACGTTCTGTATAAATTTAGGGAAATGTTAGGTGTACCTCATTCGCATACACCGTGTCTATGCAGATAGAGTTGTCTGTATACAGACAACTTTGTTAGGAAAATAGGAACTACAAAGTTGTATGTATACAAACAACTTTGTCTACGTATACAGATAATGTGTGCGAATGAGGTATACAAAATAAAATACCCGAAGATTTCTCATAAATTTAATGGAAACGGTCTATCGACCCCAATGATATACCTTGAAAATAAAACTCCAAATGATATAGTCGGAGAATTGTGTGTATTTTCACCGTGGAAATCTGGAACTTTAAACTTACTCTTGAGTAGGACATACGGATGATGCTTCGTTTGGTTTATCTTACGGTGAATGAACAACCAAATAATTTAAATAAATGCTATGTAGCACGGAAATTTGACTATGGTACCTTATCGGCGTATCTGCAATTTTTTACAGAGAAAAGTAGCAAATCAACTAACTTAAAAACTTCTTATATCCTCGAGGGAGAATGAGAAGGCCCTCAAAGATTTGTTCGTAGGTGACACCGTTCTGTTTCATACTTGTACAAAAATTGAGAACAGCCCTACTCCCGATTTTCCAACAGCAGTTGGTATGTCGAGGTCTTGCAGAAGTCAATGAAATTCATGCAACCCATGCCGGCACGCCCTCTAATCTCTATGGCCACCCGACCAATAAAAGTTCACTTATCCCCCCAAAGACCTTTGAAGATGTCTCCAATGAATCTTGACCTGTTAGGTTCAGTCACTAACGTTTGATGATAGGTCATGAGGCCATCACTCAACATAGTGACACTACCTTCTTACGAGGTAAAAATTATACTGAAATTAGCGCCAGTATTATTGATAAGCTTTATGGATGTTATTGTGGTCAGATTTGAATTGAATTTTAGACCATACATTATAAGCAAAATAAGCAATGACCAAAGAGCAGAATATATATTTAGATAGATTCAGTATGTACTACTTTGTTGAATGGCTCAATAATTTATGAAGTTCCTGTTTTACAATAAAGAACCACCAGCACACCAGCTCTCACTCAAAGGAACGCATGGATCATGAAATGTACTAATTCAACATTAAATAGTAAAAATAAACATGAAACCAAACAGCATCCCTACACAGTTCAAGCAAAACTCCTACAACTTTGTCTGCACAGCAGCGGCCTACTAATACTCAGGAGAGGCCATGTTCCGGGATTCTAGTAAGAGCTTCTGCCGTCATTGTTTGGCCCAAAGTTGTTGTTCTGATTAGGGCCCCCTGGGGTGAAGTGCTGGTTAGGAACTTGAGCATAGCTTTGGTTCGGTCCTGGAGCGTAGTTCTGATTTTGGCCTGAAGGAGGAGGAGGGGGAGGATAATTGTTATGCGCAGGACCCGAAGGAGAGTAAGTGGGACGAGGAGGGGGAGGAGAGTAGCTCTGCCCAGGGCTAGGAGGGTAGTTCTGCCCAGGACCCTGTGGAGGGTAGTTTTGCCCACCCGGTGGAGAGTAGCTCTGCCCAGGGCCAGGATGGTAGTTCTGCCCACCTGGAGGAGAGTAACTCTGCCCAGGGGAAGCAGGGTAGTTTGGGGAAGAACCGCCAGGGGGAGGAGGAGAGTAATTGTTCTGACTTGGGCTAGGAGGAGGAGGGGAGTAGTTATTCTGGCTGGGGCCAGATGGAGGAGCGTTGTTCGGGGTGGCAGGCCAGGGAGCAGCACTGTTCTGGTTTGGTGCGGGGGCATAGTTGTTCTGGTTGGGGCCAACGGGGCTTCCCTGTGGGGTTGGTGGACCAATTGAAGGTGGGACGTTCGGCCTCGGACCAGCATTGTTCTGGAAATTCTGATTACTCATTTGCTGTCTTCTTTCAAAGTTCCTTGATCTGTCAGAGTTGCGAGGCCTGTCATTGCGTCTGTTTCTTTCATTGGCTCGGGCATTGTTCCTCACCCACTCCTCATGATATTTGGGATCATATGGTACAGCCTGTCCATTTATAAAAGGTTCCCCTGCACCAGAAGTTCAGAGATTAGAATTACTTACATAAATGAACTGTAACTGGTCACAGGGCTCAACAATCCGCACAATAATAAATTACAGATAACCAGCTTGAGCCAGAAACAGAATTTCTCAATTCCCCATCACCACTACGTTATTTGAAACATGTAAGAATGAGATGGAACAGCACGCATGATGTGCTCCAACAAGCAAACTGTTTCATCATTCATTGGGATAAAAGAAAAGCAAGCATGTATCATTTCAAGTGGCACCTTTATATTTTATTGAACCTGGCTCTAAATGGAGTCCGACTTGTCTAGCCATTCTAATCAGTTTAACAACATTCTAATGCAATATGCAAACCACTTTTGCATAAGGTTTTACAGAGAAACAAAAATTAAAATCATTTAGGTTTCACGTATACAAACAAGCATATGGTTAGCGTTAGAGCAATTAGCTTTCTAAAAGATACAAATGCAAACAGCTAATACAATTTTAATAATTGAATAAACCTGAGACATTCTTATAACACAAGTTTAATCTACATACCTCCATAATCTTTATTTCTAACATCCAAGTAAGAATCTGGGAGCACCCATCGAACTTCTGGCAACTCTGCAAATAAAAAAAAAAGTATTGACTGGAAACTGAATCGTATGACAAACGAGATGCAATAGAATACCTCCTTAAAACTACCTTTCAATTTGTAAGAAAGTTCCTCTGACACGAGAGCCCCAAATGCATAATAGTGTCTAGTTGAGACAGAGTAGATCTTCATCCTAGCTTCTTCCTCGCTACAAGAGTTATTGATAGCACCATAAAGTTATCATTTTCAAAACACACAGATAGTGAGGTTCCCAAAAAAATAGTACGTTTACCACATTTCTGATTATTAAGACTAAAACAAGTCATATTATGACATACAAGAACAAGTAGGAATAACGAGAAATCGGTAAAGCAGACAAACCTTCCAACAACCTTGGCTAGAACTTTGATATATCTATCAATTATTTCATCTCTAGTTGGATCACCCTCGGGCTTCTCGACCACAACAAGCCAGTGCTCGAAATCGCACCCATCAAGCAAAATTGACTCTTTTGGGGGGCGGTTTGACCAGTTAGGGTTGGTATCATTGAGTGATGAAGAGGTCTGGCGAGTCGCAAACCCTCGCAGCGTCGCATAAGCAGCTGGATAAAGGTGTCGGGGGGCAACCGTGACCAGCGGGCGTAGGCGGAGGAGGGAGGAAGGAAAGAAGAGGTTACGACACGGAGTGATAGAAGAGTACGAGCGTGTGAAAGCGGTGCTGATGGCCTGCTTTCCGGCGGTGATTAGAGAACGAGTGAGAACGCCAGTCGCCATACCTGCTAGGGTTTATGATGCGTAAGATGAAACCCAGGGTAGAGGGTGGGTTTTATACGCAGTGAGTATAAGAGAAGAAATTCCAAAAAATAATACTTCGTAAACATTAATTATAAAATGCAAGTATTGACGTATTGTTTGAGAGATAGCTCTTCTCATCAGGCCGGCCTGACGGGCTGCCCCGTCCGGCCGAGCCCGTTTGGGCACTTTTCCGGTGGAATTTTTTGATGAAATTTTTTGAGCATGTTTCTCATCAAGTCTAGTTTGTCCATACCAAATTTCAGCTCAAAATTCGATCGGGAAGGTCGTCAAATGATTTTTGCAAGTTAACAGGTCCGGAAAATACATATTCCGGACCAGTTAACTTGCAAAAATCATTTGACGACCTTCCCGATCGCATTTTGAGCTGAAATTTGGTATGGACAAACTAGACTTGATGAGGAACATGCTCAAAAAATTTCATCAAAAAATTCCACCGGGAAGGTGCCCAAACGGGCTCGGCCGGACGGGGCAGCCCGTCAGGCCGGCCTGATGAGAAGTTTTCTCTTGTTTGAGATGTCATCAAGCATAACAAAGTTCTGGTTGTTAGGGCAAAATATATTATACACCCCGCTGTACCGTGTCACTTGGTACAACCAGGTATTTTTGTAATTATATGCAAACCGGAGGTCATTAGTTAAGGATCATGACTTTTGTTTCCTTTGTTTCTCCTCCGTTCTTGCCTTTCCCCTATTTTTCTTTTTGCTTTTCCTTATATTTTAACTTTTTAGTTTTTACTCCTTTCTTCTTCTTTCGTTACTTTACTGCTCTTCCGTTTTTTAGTTTTGTTTTCCGTTCTTTTAGTTTTGCTTCTTGTTTTTCCTTTCTTTTTTATAGTTCTGGATTTCCTTTTTCTTCGTTTAGTTTGGAACTTTAATTCTTCTATGTTTCAATTTTCTTTTTCTTTTTTCTGCTTCAGTTTTTTTTGTCTCTAAATTTGAACTTTAATTTTTCCAACTTTAAATTTTCTTTTTCTTTTCTATACTTCATTTTTTTTTATCTTTTTATATATACTTTTTGTCTTCTGGATCACTAATTTTGAACTCCTACTTTTTTGTTTTTATGTAATTTTGCTACAATAACTTTTTTGTCTTTTTCATACAATTTTTTCAAAAATTCATATCAAATGCGATGCAATAAAAACATATACACCTATTCTTTATGTTATACTGATATGAGCATACACAAATTGATATTTTAGCATATTTTAAATGAGATTTTTAATTTTTTTCGATGCTCATTTCGTAAGTTACCTATGCTCATTTGAAATTGGCGTAATGGTCACTTTAAAATGAGTATTACACCAGACATTTTAAAATGTCATATCCTTGCATATTGGTGTAATGCTCATTTTAAATATTTCGATTCTCAATTCATAAGTTATGTATTCTCATTTGTTGAATTTGTACTCATCCTATGCTCATTTTTAAAATGTTATATTTATGCAAATTTTAAAAGTTGCATATGACATTGGATTCACATTGTTAAGTTCTTAATACTCAATTAAATAAGTCTGATGCTCATTAAAAGTGTTTTAATGCTCATAATAGGTCCAATGCACATTAAAAGTTCATAAATGCTCATTTAACAGAAATTGTAATTTCATCTCAATAGAGGAGATTTGATGCTCAATGAAAATGTCGTTATGTCAAACTAACAAATCTTACGATTTTCATATCAATGAACATTTCTAAGTTACGTATGCTCATTTAGTACTAATCTTATGCTCATTTTCTAAATGTTATCAATGTATTTTTATAAAGTACTATTAAGATTTATAAAAGAAATAATAACAAAAAGAAAGTGAAGTTATGAATTAGAAGTTATGAAACAGAGATCACGAATTCTGAATATTAGACTTCTAATACTCAACATTAGAAGTGCTTAGTGGGAGCTCTCGAGTTCGAAACCCGCTAGGCACATAAGGGTTCGAAACTCAATGGAGTGAGTTTCAGCCCTGATTACTCCAGGCTCCCCCTAGCCCCCCCTCCCCCCAGACCTCCCATGGAGTAAAAAAAAACAAAAAAAAAAAATCAACATTAGACTTCTAATACTCAACATAATAGGTTTGATACTCATTAAAAGTTCAGTAATGCTCATTCACTAGAAACCGTGATTTTCATCTCAATAACGGATGTTTGATGCTCAATTAAAATGCTGTGAAGTTCAACTAACAAACCTTACAATATTCATATCAATGTGCGCTTTATAAGTTATGTAAGCTCATTTTGTACTAATGTTATGCTCATTTTTAAAATGTCATATCAATGCATATTTCAAAAGTATCAAATTACATTAGACTCGCATATTTAAATTAATAGTAGTGGATCATAGCTATAATTTAATAAGTTTTTATGAAAGGAAAAAGTAAGAAAAAGAATTAGAAGATATGAAGCAGAGATCATGATACTCATTATTAGCCTCATAATACTCAATACAATATGTGAGATGCTCAACAAAACTACATTATTACTCATTTAGCGGGAGCCATGATTTTTCGCTTAAATTACAAAACTGCCACCGAAAAAATAGGTTGTTTTAATTAAATGAGAATTAATGGATTTTAATGTGCATCAGAGCTATTATGAGCATTACAACACTTTCGATGAACATCAGACTTATTAGGAACCTACCAATATATAATAAAACTATAAATATATTTATATAAATTAATAGTATGATTCCTAGATCAAATAAGTACTTCAAAAATATGAATTAGTCTTTAAATATGGTAATAATGAGCAAAAGCAAAGAATAGTTAATATTATAATTACTATTAATAAACAATTGTAGTATGGAGTATGAAATACGTAGGATAAGTAAGATAAAAGAACAAATTATGTCATGGAGGCAAGTTGGCGAGATGGTCGGAAGGCTATATATTGAGTTTCAGGTCTAGGGATTGAATCTCCCTTGCATTTTATTTTTTTAATGAAGGAATCCGGGTTTGATACTAAGCAAAGAGTTAACCAGTTTTTAAAAATCGGATGTATGTACAATATAGGAGCTCCGTTGTTAGTACCCCAAGTTGGATGTATAGACTTATTATACGGAAATTTATAAAGTTATAAATTTATAAATTTATAAAGTTCTAGTTAGATTAATAAAATTATATTCAAAATATATTTTATTAATATATTTTATTAATATTTTATTAAAATAAAAAAGAAAAATATATGAAAAACAACTAAAATTTATCTTTTGCAGTAAATTTAGCCAATATAACCAGAAAAGTAAATTCAATCTTAATTTTTATTGTTATTACACAATTCAACGTGCGAATCCAAAAGTTATGTATTTGATGAAAATGTTGACCAATAAATCTAATAAATCGAAAAACATAATTATCAAACAGGCAATGAAAATAATAAAAACATGAGTGCAACTACAATGCATATTTGAAGTATTCATATTAAACTCGTTGATTATTCCCTTGGTAGAATCTATGTTCTAAAAATCGTTCTAGTCGTTCGACTAGTCCCCGCCTAGGCGCTAGGCGGTGGTCGGGCGCCCCGATTTTTGTCTAGGCGCTCCGACTAATAGGTTTGTCGTCTAGGTGAATTAGTCGGCCGCCTATTTGCCCGCCTAGAGCGCCTAATCGGCCGCCTATGCCGTCTAGATTTGCCACACATTACTTTATTTTTTAATTTAAATTTTCTAAGCGATATACGTACTTTAGCTTTAGTCATGGATATAATGAAATGAAATTGTAAATTAAGATATGTTTCTATATATGCCTAAATTTCATCATTATTTATATTTATAACATAATGAAGTTAAGTGATTAGTTATCTGTTATCATATACTACATATGATTAAATGTAATCATTATATCATTCATGTTTGTTAATGTATATATATATGTAGTTTATACTCACAAAAATACGATATTACTTATCATATCTATGCAAAAAATATAGATAAAAATGTAATTTCTTTATCTTCGACTAGTCCCGACTAGGCGCCTGCCTAGCCGCCTAGGCGCCCGCCTAGGCGCTAGGTGCTAGGCTGGCGCCCGCCTAGCGCCTAGCGCCTTTTAGAACACTGGTAGAATACTACATGTGCCTATACATTTTTAAACTAACTTGAGCAAATAAAGGATATGGAAAATGCAAATGATAAATAAGTAAAGAAGGTATTGTAGTTATAGAAAGGGAAAATTGTCATTTTGGTTCTCATACTTTCATGAAAAAGTCAATTAGGTCCTCATATTTTTAAGAAAATCAATCAAATAACTGAACTTTATAAAAACGTTCAATTGAGTCCATTTGCAGGTTACTTGTCATGTCAGCAAGTTACTTGCTGACGTGGCGCACATGTGGTAGCACAATCAGCAATAAGTTTGATGATGTGGCAGTGTGGCATACATGTGGAAGTCCAGTAAGCCATTTGCCGATGACGTGGTGCACACATGTACCGCCATGTGTACGCCACATTAGCGGGTGACCTGCTGACATGACAAGTAACCTACAAATGTACTCAATTGAGTGTTTTTACAAAGTTCAGGGATTTGATTGATTTTTTTAAAAGTATGAGGACCTAATTGACTTTTTCATGAAACTATGAGGACCAAATTGATAGTTTTCCCTTATAAAAAATATGAAAATTAAAGTAAAAAATTACTTGTATTCAAAATGCGAAGGGAGCCAAAATATGAAGAACTTCTTCAAAGGAACAGCTAATATAATGCCAATGAAATACTAAATAGACAAAAATAATAAAAGGATGCAAAATATTTTTCCTAATGTGCATTACTTTTCCTCATAGAATTATTAAAGATGTAGTTATTAGATGACTTATAAGGCTCTTGAATTTGTTGAGCAGCTGGGTTTGGAAAAAGGGAGAAAATGTGGAAGTAAATTCACGAAATCAAAGATTTCCTTCTTACTGCTAGAAGGAAAGATGCTAGATCAGTGAAGATCAAGAGAGGAAAGGATGTAGTCAAATTCAAGGTTCGTTGTTTCAAGTATCTTTACACCCTGTGTGTGTTTGATTCAGAGAAAGTTGAAAAGTTGAACCAATCTCTCCCTCCATGCTTGAGTGTGCAAGACCTTTAAAGGAAAGGA